CATCTTCTTGGTTCTTTCGGTAAAGTCACGTAGAAGGGAAATAATAAAATAATAAAAATGAAAATAATAAATTTCGATTTAAAGCTTTCGTGAGTGCAGAGATTCATCTTATTGGTTCTTTCGGTAAAGTCACGTAGAAGGGAAGTAATAAACTATTGAAAATAAAACATAATAAAATAATTCTCACGACGTTTCGGCCACAACGCAAGCAGCCGTCCTCAGGTGAAAACCAGGTCTGTCGGAGAGACAGCGTCTGAATGAAACAGCACACGAGCTTGGAGCATATATATATGAGCTGGGTTGGAAGGGGGGGAAAGGGCGCTTCGACAAAAGAATTTGCATATCAAGAGGAATTTAGCATATTTATGGGAAATGCAGTAATGTGATTAGTACTACATATGCCCGTGCATTATGCAGTACTAAATTACATTTTACCTTCCTCCTGTAATGCCCCCATTTCCCCGTTAGATGGCGCACTTTGTGTAATTCAACAAAACAAACTAAACTTCGAGTTCTCTGCGAATTGCACGCGTCCGTTCTCGACCCCACAGTTTTTTTTTAAAGAGTTTTAAGCACAGAAAACATAATTAAAGTTTTAAAAAATCATTAATTATACAAACTTTTCAATTCTTTCCTTCTTCACTTCGATTTGAATTTTCTCTAAAAACGTCTTCTCACCAACATTACCACTGGTCCAACACCAATGGAGACTAGGCTCTAAGAAAAGCTGTCTCAGGTGTGGACCAATCAACTTCAAGGACAGTGCATATCATTATCATCATCAGAGTTGTTTCTTTTTGTTTGCATTTTGACTGCTTGTGTTGTGGTTATTGCAAACATGATTCCTAGTATAAAGGTGTCAGTTTTTGTACCAATTGAAAGGGTAAAAACCTACTACTATATTTTACCACTGGTAAAGGAGATGTCTCATAGAACATTACCACTCATTAGCACTTTCTCCTAAGGCGAGTTTGTAAAAGAACACATGGTACAGACAGCACACATCTTGAGGGGAGGTGGGGGTCTTTGTCTCTGTGGTGTCGTGAACTGACCGCTTCAACTCGTAAGGGAATAGTACTAATCATATTCCAGCATTTCCCATAAATATGCTAAATTCCTCTTGATATTCAAATTCTTTTGTCGAAGCGCCCTTTCCCCCCCTTCCAACCCAGCTTATATATATGCTCCAAGCTCGTCTCCCCGACAGACATGTTCTTCACCTGAGGACGGCTGCTTGCGTTGTGGCCGAAACGTCGTGAGAATTATTTTATTATGTTTTATTTTTATTATTTTATTATTATTTCCCTTCTACGTGACTTTACCGAAAGAACCAAGTAGATAGCAGCTACTACTTATGTAGCAGCTACTACCCATGTAGCTATTACATATGTAGCTACTACACATGTAGTAGCTTGCGGCGCGAGAGAGAGAGAGGTGAGGGTCAACGTTAATTTTAGCGGGCGCTGAAACAACTAAATAAGTGGCAGGTGTTTTAATAAATAAATAACGCGCCACACCCAACCACCTACCCACCTACCCACCCACATTCACCCACATCCACCCACCCACATCCACCCACATCCACCCACCCACACACACACCCACACACACCCACCAACACACACACACACACACCCACCAACCCACACACACCCACACACCCACCAACACCCACCCACACCCACCCACACCCACCCACACACACCCACCCACCAACCCACACCCACCCATACACCCACCAACCCACACACACACCCACCCACCCACACCCACCCACACACAACCACACCAACCCAGACACACCCACCCACACGAACCGACACCCCCACCCACCCACACACACACTCACCCACAACAACCCACACACACCCACACACACCCACACCCCCACACACACCAACCCACACACACCCACCAACCCACACCCACCAACCCACACACCCACACACACACACCCACCCACCCACACACACCCACCAACCCACACACACCAACCCACACACACACACCCACCCACACACACCCACCAATCCACACACACACCCATACACCCACCCACACCCACCCACCTACACACACCCACCCAACCACACCCACCCACCCCAACCCACCCACATCCACCCACCCACATCCACCCATCCACACACATATCCACCCACACACACCCACCAACCCACACACACCAACCCACACACACACACCCACCCACCCCCACACCCACCCACCAACCCACACCCACCAATCCACACACACACACCCACCGATACACCCACACCCACACCCACCCACACCCACCCACACCAACCCACCCACACCCACCCACCCACACCCACCAACCCACACACACCCACCCACCCACACACACCCACACACACCCACCAACCCCCACCAACCCACCCACACACCCCAA